CGGACGGCACCGAAAAGCGGCCGTTCATTTTTATCACCCGGGCGATTGCGATCGTCTGCCCGACGAAGTTATACGCGATTCTAAAAAGTTTCGATTACAACTTTCAAGTTTTGATAAAACCTTGATTACGATTCGGACGGTGCGTTTAGACCACGGTGTAAGAAGATGAAGTGAACGTTGCCGTAGTTGTAACAAATTTGTACAAATACAAAGACGATGTAAAAAATACCGTATTAAAAAGGTTTAATTGATCTTGTACATTCGTAGAAAAATAGGCAATCGGTTCCATATCCTTAACACTGGATTTCCGGAGGACTGAAAGCTATTTTATATTAGTTCGTAAAAGCAACGATATGATATTTGCACTAGTCGTTAACGAGTGTTATTATAATATTTGCCGCAAGTAACAAATATATTGAATCAATAACTCATAAATGCATCTTTACAATCTGAATAATCGTAAATGATCTAGTATTAATTATGATATGATATGATATAATTAGTATTAATTATGAACCTAGTATTAATACATACAGTAAAGAGCATTCTATATATAATAAATATATACTGCCCTAAATATCTAGAAATTACGGTTAACAGAAATAACTGTGCTCAAAATTTTAATGAATTTATTTTTTTAACCGAGCTAAGGTCGTGTAAAAAGGAAATTGAATTTATTTATTTAGACCGTGCGAAATGAAAGCCGAGTAAAAAAGGGCCGCGTGAAAACAGCATTGGGTGTATAATTTAAAAAGTAATGTATCAGGGTGAGCGGCATTGGAAACATTAGCACCTCTCGCGGTAACTCGTGGAAGTAAACTTTTAATGTCTCATAAATTCTGTAGAGTAACCGTAGCCACGTCCACCTATCCTTCTTAAATCGTGGTTTAAACTGAAAGAATTGCAGCTTGATTATTTTCTGGTGTATGGAAGGATTAAAATCGTAATCGCCAGCAGTTTATAGGGCCCACGGATTCGTGTGTTCTTGCTGGCAAAATGCAGGCGAAGAGGACACCGAGGAGAATCGACGAAGAGAGCGGATCGATGGTCAGAGGATGGTCCCCCGAAATTCGCCGGTAGGCCTTTATAATAATGTAATCGGGGCAAATGAGGAAAATTGCTATGAAATTGCAGGATCGAGGATGCGATCCAGGCGGGCCTGTCGAAGAGGGAGAGCACCGAGGGGCGAGCGGCCTCTTGCCCGTCGGAGCCAATGGCTGCCGCCACGTCAGCTGCCATTTCGATGGAAATGCGATGGATGTCCGCTATTTCGTATGATAAAATATCGCCGCAAAAACCGTCTGGCCGGCCGGGGCCCGCCCCGGTATTCAGTGGCCGCGCAAAGAGAACCCCCTTCGAAAACTTTCCGATGCCCTCCACTTTACTCGTCGAACGGTTATCAATCGTTAGCCGAGAGAAAAACGAGCCGAAACCGCCGCCTTCTAATGCAATATTTATCCGCCGTGCTCCCGAAATACCCGCGTGAACGCGCGCGGAATATTAACCGGACGGCTCGCTTCAATTAATCGCGATCCCTGTTTACCGTGTAGTCGATTAAACCACGAAAGCGATAAGGGACCGGCGAAAAAGTCCTCTGTGTCGGGCGACATTCGTTTTGGCGCACCCGAGTCCGACTCCTTGCACCTTGAACTACATTTAGTAAGAAAACAACAATCGGAGAAATGAAAGTGTCTCGTCCATTTATTAAAATCATCGAAAGTGGAGATATATTTTTTATTCAAATCCTGCTCCTTGCAATTGATTTCGCATAAAGATCCGCAGTCTATTTAATTAGCCGAAACTGCGAGATAGATACAAAATACGGTGATGAGGATTCTGCTCTTGCACGATGTCGAGCCTCGGCATGATCAGCTAACGAGGTTCGGAATATTTCTTATAAAAGGAATTCTTTGCTTCGATTTGCTCGCGATTCACGATTCAGACAGTATTCATTGTGGATGGATGCGTAGATTCGAAAATGAATATTATTTTATTAAGATGCGCAGAAGAATGTTGAGAAAAAAATGGATGTGACACAGCTCAACCTTCCAATTTTAATTTGACTCGTTAACTTGACCTGTCTCAAAAATTGCAAAAAGTTGAAGTATGTTATCTAATTAAATTTAAATCGATAAGCTAAGTCGTTATTTTCTCAACATTCTTACGTTTCGTGGATCTTATCAAAATAAGGAAGATGTAATACCTTGGCCAATAAATGAATTGTCAAATCTGAGAAAATAACTCCGTCACCGACGATAATGATAGGTGACGCGGCACTCAAAGTGTTAGAACACTTTAACTTAAACAAATTTTTAACACCGCAGCGTGACAGTCGAGGGTGGCAGAAAAAAGCATGTAGGAACAATACCCAGTCCTATAATTGAGCCGTTTATTTTTAAAGTGGCACGAGTCGCTTTGTTTTTAAGTCGATATAAATTTAAATCGATAAAATCGATAAAAAATCACCACTTTTNCATTTCGATGGAAATGCGATGGATGTCCGCTATTTCGTATGATAAAATATCGCCGCAAAAACCGTCTGGCCGGCCGGGGCCCGCCCCGGTATTCAGTGGCCGCGCAAAGAGAACCCCCTTCGAAAACTTTCCGATGCCCTCCACTTTACTCGTCGAACGGTTATCAATCGTTAGCCGAGAGAAAAACGAGCCGAAACCGCCGCCTTCTAATGCAATATTTATCCGCCGTGCTCCCGAAATACCCGCGTGAACGCGCGCGGAATATTAACCGGACGGCTCGCTTCAATTAATCGCGATCCCTGTTTACCGTGTAGTCGATTAAACCACGAAAGCGATAAGGGACCGGCGAAAAAGTCCTCTGTGTCGGGCGACATTCGTTTTGGCGCACCCGAGTCCGACTCCTTGCACCTTGAACTACATTTAGTAAGAAAACAACAATCGGAGAAATGAAAGTGTCTCGTCCATTTATTAAAATCATCGAAAGTGGAGATATATTTTTTATTCAAATCCTGCTCCTTGCAATTGATTTCGCATAAAGATCCGCAGTCTATTTAATTAGCCGAAACTGCGAGATAGATACAAAATACGGTGATGAGGATTCTGCTCTTGCACGATGTCGAGCCTCGGCATGATCAGCTAACGAGGTTCGGAATATTTCTTATAAAAGGAATTCTTTGCTTCGATTTGCTCGCGATTCACGATTCAGACAGTATTCATTGTGGATGGATGCGTAGATTCGAAAATGAATATTATTTTATTAAGATGCGCAGAAGAATGTTGAGAAAAAAATGGATGTGACACAGCTCAACCTTCCAATTTTAATTTGACTCGTTAACTTGACCTGTCTCAAAAATTGCAAAAAGTTGAAGTATGTTATCTAATTAAATTTAAATCGATAAGCTAAGTCGTTATTTTCTCAACATTCTTACGTTTCGTGGATCTTATCAAAATAAGGAAGATGTAATACCTTGGCCAATAAATGAATTGTCAAATCTGAGAAAATAACTCCGTCACCGACGATAATGATAGGTGACGCGGCACTCAAAGTGTTAGAACACTTTAACTTAAACAAATTTTTAACACCGCAGCGTGACAGTCGAGGGTGGCAGAAAAAAGCATGTAGGAACAATACCCAGTCCTATAATTGAGCCGTTTATTTTTAAAGTGGCACGAGTCGCTTTGTTTTTAAGTCGATATAAATTTAAATCGATAAAATCGATAAAAAATCACCACTTTTCATTACGGTAAAGTGACTTATGCCATTTTCAAAATAAACGGCTCAATCGTCCACAACCCTGACGACGTACCACGTCAAATCTTACAGAAACATGAAACCCGCAGGAGCGAAACAAAATGAGCCGCGTCCGCTTGAAAAGCATAAATAAAAAACGTAAATACCGAAATACTACTCGTCGGTCACCGAAATGTTGACAGAGTTGCCTACGTAGAGAGAATGGTATAGCCTGCTCATTGATAGAAAATTGAGAGCGACACGACCGAGTCAATTTCCCACGAGCCTGAGAAAAAAGCCGGGGCAAAAAACCACGTATCCCAGGTGAGGAAGATGGCCGACCCGATGCAAACAACTGCGGAGCAACGTGTCCGTCCGGCTGGCTAGCCATTGGACAGCTAAATGACACCACTTACGCTAGAAGGCGACTCGAGTCGGCCGGCAAGGTATACCATAGACGACGACAACGACGACGGGTGGTGCCGAGCTTTCGCTACAATTACGGAAAATTGCGGCCCCGCTCGTAACACTTGTTTTTCAAGCGTTACGGACGGCTTATCTACCGCGACGCCGGTAATCCCGAACAATTGGAGCGAACGCGAGAATACGCGGGAGTACGCGAGCTGTTGACGGTCGCAGCCAGCACTGGGATCGCGACGCGGCGAACGTCGAGGGCTGACGATCGTCGATCATCGACCTCGTCAATTTTTCCTAGCCCATGAAACTCCGTGGAATTTCAAAAACTGGGACAACGAACCGTGTCGCGGTCGATCGAGGCTATCGTCGACGACGCCGTTTCCACGGTTTTCGTTAGGAGGACGAGCGGCACCTGGTGAACGGCCGATTAATTATGTTCGCGTAGCATTGATTACTTAAATCTAGGTAGAGCCCCGACCTTGAGGTGTCTCCGATGCTACCGCAAAGGGGGATAGCATTAAATTTCCATGGATCCATGGTAATAAAGCCTTCGACCATGAACAATAAACGTAGCGGTCTTGTGCCGGTTGCATCGACTGTCCCGTGCATTTAGCTAGAGCCTCGTTCATCGATCCTCGCATTGTTGCTACGGCTATCGATCAACGGCATGTATCATAGATAAATCACGCTCGGCTTCCGTCTACATCCAAATAAGTTTCAGCGATACTTAATTTACAAGTCACGCGAACGTACCCGGCGACCCCGGAATAAAACAACTGCTCGATAATAAAGGAAAAATTCATGGTCGCGCTGCGCCATCGGCGCTCGCAGAACAGGCGAGAATAGGCCCGCGTCCGGGAATCGCGGAGCGTACTCACCTTTTCGAGCTCGAGGAGGTGAAACCGGAGGACCTGGATCGCCTGGACCATCTGAAACGAAAAAAGGAATCGAATGAAATCTGTTCGGTCGGATATAAAAGGGGACGCGGGTCGGCTGAGAGGAATCGAAGGACGAGGCGAGGAAGAGGAGGAGGAGGAGTACCTCGGCGGAAGAATCGGCGTCGAGCGTGTGTATCGGTCTTGTCATTTGTATCGCGCCGAGTGCCGCGGCTCGGTGCACTCCGCGGGGATTAACGGGAATTAATTATTATTGCATCTGCACGCCGCTAATTGCGTCCCCGGATTCCGTGTTCCGGCCGGAACACGATCGATGCGGCATCGATGGACCGGTTCAACGACCTCGGGCCGAGACTGCTCGAGGCTGGCCGGTTCGAGGAAGGTGCCCTGTCGTCGTCGATCGCGGAACAGGCGGCTGCGAACGCCAGAAAACCGCGCGTTCCTCCTTCCCCGAGGCATAATTAGCGGACGGGTCGACTCGTAATTTTCTCGGAGCATTATTTTCACAAATTCTCGCTATCGCCGCGGAATCCCGCTTTGAGGGAGCGGCGGCGGCGGACGGGGTGGGGGGACGCGCCACCCTCCTTTATTTCTCCGAATGCTATACTACACGACGTTTTTCTAAACGAGAGTCACGTTCGCTGTCGACGAGGCCAGGTATCGGACGTGCATACTCGAGCCGGGGCCATCGGCATAATTTTCCGATACGCCGTAACGCTTAAACCCACCTCGGAGAGAGCCCCCGCAATCTCTTGCCGGCCCCCCTCTTCGCCCTCCCTGCTCCACCCTCTCGACACAGACTCGGAGGAAACCCGGGCCCCCGGTCGGCCCCGGCTATGGCCCCCGATGGTAGCAGAAGCGGCGATTCAATTAGGCAAAGCGGCAATCTTAATTGTTAATTAACATTATATTTATGCAATTATGGTCCATTATGATTCCGCGCGGACGATAACGAAGCGACCGCGATGAGTGCTCCCTCAGATAGCGACTCCTCGAAAGCACGGTTCCGCGCGCTCTGCCTCCGCCCTCGCTCTCTCTCTCTCTCTCTTTCTCTTTCTCGCTCCTGGTACCTCTTCTTCCTTCTGCACCCTACCACCACCTTCGCCGTCCAGGTGAACACGCATGGAACTGGCTGGAGGTCGCTGCCAGCCGACTGACAACGAATCGGGCGCGTTTCGATACGGCACGAAGCGATAGAAACAATTCGCAATCAGCGTGTAATGGAACAGACCCGGTCCCGCCATCTTAGAACCTTGGGGGAAGGGGGGAAGGGAGCTCTGTCAGCGTTCGAACTCGAGGAATTTTCTGTCACTTTTGCTCATAATCTCGAGTAACTATTAGATCGCCCCATAGGTTCGTGCCGCGAATATGTCTACATTTCCGCGTTTTCTACACACAAAATGATAATTTTATGCACTTATGCTAAACATAAGCAGGGATGCAATTTAAAACAGCGTGTAGATTAAAAGAAACCAAGAATGTTGATTCGTCAGTTTGAATTTATTAAAACGATTAACGAGAGAAAAAAAACAGCGCTTGAAGTCGACGCAGACAATTCTTATTTTGTATAATGGTTCGCAGTCTAGGGATAAATCTGTGTCTACAGAAGGCGTTTGGCAGGAGAAGTTAATGTATCGCAAGCATTTCGTCTTTTACACAGTGGAAAACCAAAAGTGATTACATACTCATTTTTTTAGCATCTTACGGTCTAAACAGGTTGTCCCAAGATTGTGATACTTTCGGGAAGTGAGAGGTTCCTGAGATCATTTGAAGTCACTTTTTCCTTAGCGAAAATGCGATTCGCGGCTTTGTTTACGAGTTATTAACGAAAAACAGTGACCAATAAGAGGCGAGCACATTAAATTCTTCGTCTCGCGCGGGTCAAGCTCGCCTCCCATTGGTCACTGTTTTTCGTTAATAAATCGTAAACAAAGCCACCGGTTGCATTTTCGCCAAGAAAAAGTTACTTCGAATGACCTCAGGAACCCCTCACTTCACGGAAGTACCATCATTTCGAGAGACTCCGTATATTGCGCGGAGGTGATACAGCAACATTTGTCACAAACAATATTTGTATCGTTTATGGAGAAGACGATTTCACAGTTCAACCACGTTTCGGACTCGCAACTGAATCAGACGAGGATGCAATTCATAATCTCGTTGTGGATGAAACGCGAAATTGATCGGTTCAAGAGATGTCTGAAACTGTGAACATCCGAAAATCATCCGTCCGTAGATATTTAAAGAAAGCGAGGACAGTAAACGGCGCGAACTTGTGACACGTGTACAACGCGAAGAGCAACGTGTACGGTTACCTTTGGAGCTCGGTACGGCAACACCAAACATCGAGCCCCGTGTGTTACACTGTCCACTGTGCACGGTATATGCTACAGGTTACATCAAACATCCAAAACGAACATAATCTTATAAACGCGCCACTGGCTTGTCAGAAACGCGTTGATTTAAGCCTCGCGTATTCCCGCTTCAGAAACGCGATCGGTTTGTACCATGAACGGAGGTTCAGAATAGATTTCTGGCGAGCGGAGCCAGGATCCCGAGTCTCCGCCGCGAAGAACCGGCCCGCAAGAGCTGTAAGAACCTATTATCAGAATAACCGGCCGTCCACAAAGAGGATGTCAACGTAAGTCGACATCAAACGATTTCAGCGCAACTATCCGGACGAACAAAGGAGAACGATATAATTAGAAGCGGCTGGAAGTCGACGCGTGTCGTCCGAAGCATGAAACAAAAGCGATCCCGATGGACAATAAAGAGATCGCGCGCGGGCCGGGCGCAGAGGGCCGGATAACGAAGTGAAAAGTGCCCGGCCGTGCTACCCGGTTACGCGTCCCGTAAATACCGGGTTCAACTGCCGCGGTGGGGTTATAAAATCGGGAGCCAATTTGGCCCCGGCTGAACTGCCTGTTAAACTGTTCGTCGCTGGTGATCTGCGAACGGGATCGATGGAATTGAATGCGTGATCTATACGCCGTGTCGACAAGCGAAAGCGATAGCTCTGTTGCGCGATTGTCTTCGGCGGTTCTGTGGGCCCACGTGGCCAACCGGGTCCGACAACCCTTAACCTTTTAGGTACGAGTGCATTCTGTGCGAGACTATTTCCCTGGACGGCAGATTCTGATAAGTACTGTTCAGAGTCTGGTACTGTATATTCCGTCTATACAGAGTGTCTCAAAAATGTCTCGCAATCCGGAAATGGCGGATTCCTCGGATCATTCGAAGCAATGATCAATTTCTTCCTTTACAAAAATGTTCTCCGAGGCACCGTTAACGAGTTATCAACGAAAAACAGTGACCAATAAGAATCGAGTACGGCTGACGCGAGGCGGCCCAGCCAACCAGCGTACGAAGCCTAGTTCCGCTCATTGGCTCGGTCGCCTCGCGCCAGCCGAGCTCGCCTCTCATTGGTCACTGTTTTTCGTTAATAACTCGTTAACGGTGCCTCGGAGAAAATTTTCGTAAAGGAAAAAGTTGCTTCAAATGACCCGAGGAATCCGCCACTTTCGGATTGCGAGACATTTTTGGAACACCGTGTATATTATTGACACCGTTGTAAATCGATGCGAAGGCAAAAGAAATGTGAAACAATGCATAGGAAGATGATTATTTCATTCAAACGGAGTGAGCTACTAGAGTGAGCCACTATAGTGGCGCGTCGTTCAGAGGGACGATATCCCCGAAAGCCACTATAGTGGCGCATAGTGCCTAAGAGGTTAATACCAGTGTTTCAACCTCGTTGGTCTTCTAGTGTCAAGTAGAACCGCGACTTACGCGAATAGTAGACGGATCTTGATGCATTTATGGCACTTGACAAATTTTTCAAACACAAGAACACGTTCGCATTACAGACGTCAATGATACTGGAAATTTGGTTTTAGTATAAAAAATTATTTAGACAGCAAAATAAATTTCTCCCGTGTTCTGACTTTTACAAGGAATCCACAAAACTGGGAATTTACTAAAGATCCGCTTATGAGGTATGCGGGTACCTGTGTTGTGCATGTGAGATGATAGAATAAACGAAAATTACTCATAAATTAGACCCTATAACTGACCACAAGAACTATTACTATATTAAGAATATTTATTAATTTCTGTTATTTATAATTAATTGTTATATACTACCGTCACTCCGTACCCAAATTCCACGTAGATCGCATATTTTGTATGGTAACCCTTCTAGACAGGTAACTTTTCCTTCTTCAACCCTTTGCCGTCGAAGCTATTTGAATTCGAAATCCAGAACATGATTTCTGATCTGCAGAATTTCTATTTTATATAATTTATTGCGATTTATACGTATGAAATTGCACCTGTTGGCAAGTGCAATGCAATTTTAACAGTTCTTTAAAAACATAAACGAGTCAAATGCTCTTAGAATGATTTCGAAAAATAGTATACCAATTTTTAGCGGTGGCTCAAAATCGCCACTCGAGTGCAAAGGGTGAAACCTTCACCAAACATGCGAGAATGAAAATTAATTCTTAGAAACTCGATATTCGAATGACAATATCTATACTCTGGGTTCAAACGGACCCGAGCCCCGCCGATCGAGCGTTGAAGCGACGAGAACAGCATCCGAACCGTGAGAAGTATCTCTAAGCGACCTTGTCATTTCTACAATACTTGCAGCAATAGATCCGCGACCTATTCGAATAGTTCTGCAGTTGAACTTACGGTTCATTAGGACCAAGCGGTAACCGAGTCTTGAATGCAATGGAAGTGCACTTAATTTGCCCCACCACCGAGGATTTTTCGATCAAGTAATTAAAGTTCGACTAAGTGGATAAGCGGCGTTCGCAGCATAGCGTCGGTCGAGTAAATTGTCGTCGAAGTAAACGGACTTCTAACGTATGTGTGAATCTGTTGTTGCAGCGACAGCGACTCGTTACATCCGAGGCTACGCGATTCTTTCGTTTCCACGGGTTTCTGGGACGCGGAGGAAGCGTCGGGTCGGGTCGGGTCTTCGACACTTCGCGAGCCCGGCGCGGCGACGTCCTCGTCGGGGGAAAGAA